GCTGGGATGATGGGTCAAGGGAAGAAGGGACATGCAGCCGAGCCTGGTAAGGGATTTAGCAGATGAAAGACATAGAAGGTAGAAACCCAGGCAGGTATAGGCTTAAATATCAATACAGTCCTCAATTTGCACAGTATCACGCAAGTGCCTTCCTGCCCTCAAGAACCGGAACTACATTGGCCGTACGAGCTCCGAGAAGGTTGGGAATTGCGAATCTAGTGTTGGTAGTGATAACTGGATAATACATTGGCCAGATCCTACAACCTAGTGAGCTTTTCCTTTACTCGTGCAGATCCGACAGGTTAACCGAATTTACTACTTGGTCGGTTACACCCTAGAGGTTCTCAACTCTCAAGATACCGTCACAGGAGGCGGCAAGTACGACTTAAAGGACAACACAAAGGCAAGGGAACACACCCGCAAGGCAACCCTACGGCCAGATCCACGATCTAGGCCCCGGATCCATAAGCTCGAATATTCGCTTAGGATACGGAACCATCCACGGACGCAGAGTGAAGATTTTCCACTGCTGCTCCACCCCATCCCCACGTCTCGCCAAGACACTCAAGCTTCACCACTTGAACTCTTCGGAAGTTACCGAGAGAGCAGATCCCGCCCTACCGACGGGTACACAAGGTGAGGAAAGTTCAGCAGAACACGGATCATCGGGGGACCCCCTCCGTTAGTCGGTGTCTGGGCGCAGTTGGTAAGTTGGATCTGGCAATCTCGCAGATTTTGCTGATCCCGCTACACCACACGGTACTTTGACCCGCAGGGGGTTGCTGACTCGCAGACCCCCCTTGACCCAGCTCCTCGAAGCGAGGGCCGGTCACAGTCGTCGACGAGGGCGTCGGAGCAGGCACCCAAGCCTCGGTCGGGACGGCAAGGCTGCGGTCAAGACCGTACGCCGGAGGGGCTCCATACGAACGGACCCCGGCGCCATACGCCGAGTACGCTGAGTACGCCGGGTACGCACCATACGCGTACGTCTGGGAGTGTGCCGCAGGCGGCTCCGGACGTGGCAACAAAGCCTCGATCCGTCGGATCATGCGAAAGGCCTCGTCCAGATCGGACGAAGAGGCCCGGCGGTCCACCCGCAGGTGCAGGCTCGCGACCTCTCGCTCCACCAGGTCCAGGCGACCCGCAAGACGAGCGAGCTCGCCCTGATTCCCGGCCTGGGCGGCAGCATTACCGCCAGTCCCAAGGCCAAGTGCAATCTCAAGCACGAGGAGACGTTGACGGAGGCGGTCAACCCTCAGGGTCCCGTGTCGGACCCGCAGTCGGAGCACTCGAACGAGAGTGGCTCTCGGGAGGCGCCGAGTACTCGTACTCGTACGAGGGCACCTCCGCCCCTGCTTGACCGGAATGGAGAAGTCCACTTCCACGTGGAGCGGATCCTCCAGGAGCAACGGTGTCGCGGGAAGCGACAGCTCCTCGTGAAGTGGAGGGGTTATGCCCACTCCGAGAACTCGTGGGAGCCGATTGAACGGCTCCTGATTGACTGCCCGAAGGCTGTCGCAATCTGGGAACAGAAGCGGCGGCAGCTTCATAAGTAGTCCGGGGCTTCTTGCCCGAACGAAGTACGGATGATGAATACATACCGTACCCGCGCTCATCGTGAGCGCCAGAAGCCGCGCGCTTCAGGATGTCCCTTGGCAGCATACGCTTGCTGATCAAGTGGGCAAACCTCACACGAAGATCACGCTGGTCCAGGATGTGGGACAGCTGCTGATCTTCATGGAGTTCCCATAACTCCGTGGGCGAGTACTTGAGAGTCTCCACCCACGCCCAGAACATGTCCTCACAAGAACTCCATGTGGGACAGTTCTCGGGCATAACCCAGGGGTATCCCCAAACAGGATAGAGACCACCCCGGGTCTCGGGCTTCTTACGACAAGTCGTGAAGTCCTTAAGGGGAATGCGGTGTGGCGCGAGAAGCACACACCGAGCAGCCTCCACGTTGTCGACGAACAACTGTTCTTTCTGAACAAGGGCTCGTTCATAGATGCCCCTAGAAGTGTGGCCGCCCACAAGGCCACGAGGAGCGACGAGAAGCTCTAAGAAGAGGTCAGCCCCAGAGCTCTCCTCGGGAGGCCAATACCCTCTTGAGTTGATGGCAGCTCCCTGGCTGACGGGTGCCGCCACAGAACCCCCACGCACACGCTGGGCAGCTTGGAAATCCTCCTGCTGCTGGTCGAGGTCATTCGAGACCTCCCGGGGCTCAACAGTGGCACCCTCCTCTTCCTCTTCTTCCTCCTTCTCCTCCTCTTCATCCGAGGAGCCGAAGAGACTCTGATAGGAGCGTCGAGTCTCCTTCTCCTCGCGGAGTGGAGACTTAGAGGCGGTACGCTTCTTTGAGGGCTTGGCGCCTTCGGCTTTAGAGGCCTTAGCGCGCGCAAGACCCTCGGCAAGCGAGAGACGTTTGCGAGGACTCCCTTCCTCATCGCCACCGGCTTTGGGAGTGCCCTTAGCCTTAACGGCCGGACTCTCAGAGCGCACAGAGGTCCTGGGACTGTGATCACCGTGATCACTAGCGGACGACTGCACGCTGTCTTCTTTGTGCTCACTGGGCACTGGGCTGTGCCCTCCCACAGAGCCCGCAGGAGCATCATGAGTGCTCTCGGACTCGGCATCGTCCTCACTGCCCGAGTTGAACTCACGTTCTACGAACCGAGGGTTCGGACGATTGTCTGAAGACGAGGGCGACGGACTGCGGCGCCTGCTTGCGCGCTTGTCCGCAGCCGCGTCACCCGAGGATCCGATCGCCTCGGAGGCCACCTGAGTAGCCTCCTTAGTGCAGAGCCTTTGCCGTGAGGCTTAGTGCTCTTGGCCTGCGCCTTACCGGCTGCAGCCTTGGAGCGTGTCTTAGCACCGCTCTTAGCAGGGCCACGAGGCATGTTAACGGTCGAAGTGGAGACCTTGACGAAGAGCGCACAGGTTGCTGCTCGAGGCTCTAACTGTAAAGTGAGCCTCCGCCGCGCTCGCGCGGCCGAGTCGATGGTTTTCGACTTTGAGAATGAGAGTTTGTGACGAACATCTCTTCATTCTGATTGGTCGGTAAACCGAACCTAAGTGGGGGAGGATGTAACGGGGTACGTAGCACTAAGTGTACCCTGGTTACATGAAGTGTGACACTTCACACTTCAGGAGTATGACATGTCATACTCCGGGATATTTGGTACAAGGTACCAAGGTCATTCAAAACCAACCATTGGTTAAATGACATTGCATTTCTATAGGTAACTGATAGTTTGTATTAACCTCAAACTTAACCTACCTATAAATATACTCAGTTTACAATCTACCTTATTTAGGTCACTTCGCTCTCTTTAATTAAAGAGGGGACCTGTGAACTGCCGTTCACTGAGAGTTTGTATACTCTCGGAAGATAACGCAAGGTGCTGTGTGACCCCGTCACACAATAGCTGCCAAAGAAGGCAGAATTACTTGGACAACCACATCAAAGCTGCACAAAATAAGGCAAGCAGAAAGCCCTAACCCGTTCTGAAGCACATAACACGGTAATTGTCAAACCACGGTTAAATTAGTGAACCTTTTAAAAAGGTTCATTTGGGACGCAGTCACGTCATGATTGGAGACGTCGCTATTGGACCCACGAGCCCCCCGCTGCCGATCAAACCGCGGGCGACCAACCGCAGTCGGAAGCAACGAGAGCGCGAGGTTCCTGATGTGGAATGGGAGCGCTCACTTCAACATTTCGCGGCCGCCGTAAGTGACGACTTCGACGATCTGCACGCTCGATTTTTACAGGAGGTGAGTCTTATCCTCCTAGCCCAGTAAGAGGCGCAACCAATGTGAGTGCAGTTTCTAATACTTCGTTGTACTACAGAGCGAAATCACGTTTGCCTCTTGGAAGCGGTTGTGGGCCGATGCGAGGATGAGCGCCGCCTTCCATGTCGAGTTCTGGGACAGCTCGCCCACCAATACGCACAAGACGATCCTGCAGCAAGCACTGGACGCACTGGTCTGCTGCATCGAAGAGCACAATGGCGCGTTCGAGAGTACAGCGGACGTTGCGGTGCTGGTCAGTCGCGTATTCGCGCTGTACTGCGCGTACTCGGTGCAGCTTGGCGACCCTAAGCACAAAATCGACGTAGACCCACAGTCGTGGAAGGCGCTACTCACAGTCAACTTTGTTATGTGTGGTGCAAGGGCTTCGCTCTTTCCACTGGCAACTCGAGAAGTGAGAGCACTGATGCATCGGCTCATCGTGGAAGAGGACGCGTTTCTCCGCTGTCTCCAAGGGTTTGGATCGAGTGTTCGGGTACGAAACCGTGCAATTAGAGTGCAGACCGCTCAAACACTTGGTGCTGGTCAAATTGTATTGGTCCCTGCAGACAATGCCACGGAGGAAGACGCCCCGGTAAGTGGTCGTAGCTGTTACTACTACATGTAGTGAGCTCTTCAGCCACGCCAACTTACTCGTTGTTGTGCAATGTGATTTTGTCAAATTAGGTTAAACAAAACATAGTGGAGCAGCTCAAATCTTTCAACAATCGCTACCAGGAGCTCATTAGTCGTGCTCGACCAGCATCTGTAACTGGTGCTGGGTTAAGCGGGAGTAGGGGTAAACCGGCATTGGCAGCATCTTTAATTACGTCCCAAGAAAGAGGAAATGACGGAAACGATCTAACTCGCGCTTTGATAGCTTACGTCAAGTACAAAGCGAACGAAGAGGCTCGTAGAAGTGATCGCATTGTGCGTGCAGCTGGTGCTCGCGAGTATGACGGAAGCAGGAGCATTCTCGAACAGATCGGCAGTGAACACGATGAGCACAGCAACGACCTGGATCTGAGTGATCGCGATAGTGTCATGTCAGTACCTTCCAGTCCCACGGCTAGAGCTGTTGTTTCCATCCCGCGTGAGCGCGGCAGCAGTGAAGATTTCATGGCAGAGCTCGAGTCTGAGCTACATGCAGATGTTTTAAGCGAACAAGTTGAACTAGACCCAGCTGCCAGGAACAAGCAAACCTCGGCACTGAGCGAAGTCAGCGAAGCTGACAGTGATGGTCTTGCCGACCTTGAGCAAGAACTTGAGGAGAATGTTGGTGTTGCATCACTTGGAAATGTAAGGAAAACAGCTCCAAAGAAATCGTCGCCTCCTGCTCGTCGGAAGCGAGGTCGACCACCTGCCAATACATGTACTGTCCCTCACAGTGAAGCAGCAACTACCCTGGTGCCTCGAAGGGCAACAGCTGAGAAACACTCCTCGGCCAATGGCGAAGTCAGTGAAGCAGAAAGCGTTGCTTTTGCGAAGCTCGAGAGACAAGTGGAGCAAAGTATGGAACTTGTGTCGTCTCGACTAGTAACGGGGAGAGCATCTATTCCTCCTCGTCGTAGGTGGAGGCGAGGCTCTGCCGCCCCAGGTATTGTTCCACGAAAAGCTGGTCGAACATCGAGCTCAACACAGAAACCTGCTCACACCGTCGCGGTTGAAAATGCTCGCCCGACAGCGAAGCGTGCGAGGAGTGACTTTATGGCGAGCACTATGCCCTTCGCAGATTCTTGGGCGGTGGCTTCGACGGCCGACAGTGATGGTCTTGCCGAGATACAAGCTGAACTGGATGCCATCCCCACGCTGGCAGAGCCACTGAAGACCGCTCCTAAGAATTTCTCTCGTGGTCGTAAAACCCACCAGCGTTCGTCCGACGCCACTGTACAGCTTCCTGCCGCAAAACCAGAGGTAAAATCAAAAGTGAAGCTACCGACTCGACAGTCCAGTTCTCGCGATCCAAAGCGTAAACTTCATGCTGTTGACGTTGTACGCGATCGTCAAAACCCGCCAGGGCAGTCCGCGGATCAACGTACTGGAAGGAGGACAACTGCCTTGTCGATTCTGTCCGACAGCAGTGGGGTGACAGCTCAATCCCAAGCACAAGTCGAGGTTTCTGGTGGAAGGACAACCTCTAGAAGAACTCACGAACCTATCACGCCTTATGAATCTCTACGTGGGGGATCGTCTCGGTTGAGTTCAGTGGCGTCTGAGGCAGGCAGCAACGTACTTGAAGAACTGGAGAGGGAGCTTAACGCTACCGCTGCAACGTTAGGAGTAGCCCCATCACATTTAGCGACAGCACAAACGAAGGCTACACCTCGAAAACGAAAGGTAAATCTTTCCTCTGCTCAACAAACGACTAGAAACAATGCCAAGATGCAACGGGTAAACCGGATGGACACTTCCACAAGTGCTAATGGCGAGCAACGAGTCTCAAAATCAAGTCCAAAAGCATCTCGGGGTCCGTCTCAAAGGAGCTCCGTGTCGTTGGATACCGAGAGCGACGGATGGGCAGAGCTGATGGCAGAGCTCGATACCACGGTGGCATCACAGACAGCTACTGCTGTGACGCACAGGCGGGCGCTTCCTACTAAGAGACCCAACACAAGTTCGACTAGGAAGCAATCGCCTTGGTCGCCGAAAGTTTTGGCACCTCACTCGGCCCCCTCACACTCAAGCCCCCCCCCATCGCCTGCCGCCACCGCTGACCTTCGACGTTCTGCTCGTTTGAGCTCCCTGGCTTCAGACACCAAGAGTGATGGGTTGGAGGATCTACTGGCAGAACTTGAAAGTACCCCAGCAGCTTCAAAACCTCCAGTGGCGAATACTACCCAGCCTAGAGCAACTCGAAAGTAACAGACTCGTGCGCAAGGGACGTTGAAGGCAGGCCAAACGAAGGAAGGTCCAAAACCTATGCGTTTGCCTCGTGCCTAAGTGCAGAAATGCAAAACTGTGTTGCAGCGAAACGTCCCACCAGCCAGCCACTACATGTAGTTGCCCCAGTAAGCTCTCGACGATCTACTCGATACAGCTCTGTAGCTTTCGACACTGACAGGGATGGTCTTGCAGAATCGGAGGCACAGCTGCAAGCAGGACCCATATACATGTAGACCCTAAGGAACTGGTTTGCCCCGATTATAGTTTTATGCGTTTTCTCATACGCGAAGACGTAGTGATACTACTAGTAATAGTTACCCATGGGGAAGGCAGACGATGTTGTGGAGGATGAAAGCGTCGACCTTGCATGGCGCGTCGAGCTCTTGCGTGCACTGATAACCGGGGACTTGCTCAGTACGTCGACTGAAAAGGCACAAATCTGCTTCGCTATCTACCGTTTGCTGTATTTTGCAGATGTGAAGCGCGTGATTCGGCGTCACGTCGAGGCGATTTCAGCTCCGTTCACGACTACCATGCCAGCTTGGACGCTTCAGTGGGAAGGGATGCACTGGTGGATGCTGCGAGACTCGACTCCTTTATTCGCGGCAAGTGCATATTCACGACCAGAAATCGTGCACTGGTTGCTTCTCAATGGAGCAGATCGATCAACTCCTTGCTACCTCAAGCAGACAGCAATACAGATTGTCGGCGAGTGTTGTGCTCACGCAGCTGCTCCTGACAGGACTCGCGACTCTAAAGCAATTGCAGTTGACAATACAAGATGCATTAGACTATTGGTGGAGCCCCCTACACTACCAAAGCCACCAACGATCGAGGTCTCCTTTTCCAGTAGTTACTCGTCCGAGGTGGTCATCACCTCGACGTCCAATAGAAGCTCAATTCAGCAAACTGTGTACAAGTGTCTGCTCCGTGCTTCATGGCAGACTCCGCTCTCCAACGGCGCCATCATCGACAAGTACGAGCTGCGATATCGTCGACTGGTAACAGAGGATGGAAGCGAGGAGAGCACTGATCATGAGATAGATAAGAAGCCAGCCACAGCCACCGTCACATGGGACACGAAGCAGGTGGCGCACAATCGCAAGTTTCGTCAGCAGAGTGCACTGCTAGAAAGACTACAGTTCAACACAGTCTATGAAGTTATGCTCCGCTCGTGGAATGCTGCGGGCAAAGGCGAGTGGAGTCCCAGCTACCAGACGAAAACCCCCGCAGTACCGACGCGTTCAGCGGGTACTCGCTAATATCTGTCCGTCTAATCAACGGCTTTCTTCTTCGACCTCCTGTTACTCTTGCCTTCAACTTGCGAGTTGCCCACTTTTGTAAAGTGTGGTGAGAAGCAGAATAGCCCAGCGCTCACCGCAGCAAGACACGCAGCACCGTATGCAGGCCCATCGATCGAAGCGGTGTACGTCCACCCAGACAAAACTGAATTGGCATAGGTCACAAGTGAGAATCAAAAAGGAAAAAAAATACTTAAGTAGTAACGAAGTTTCTTGAGCACTTACTTGGCCCCACAGTTCTGGAGATGGACTAATATAACGCAGATCAGAGCAATATATGTGAACACACCAGAGTAGCTTTTTAAACGGGATGGATACAGACTCACCGTCAAGGAAGAAGAGATGCCCATGAAGGCACCGACGTGCTCCTGCGAGACGAACGTAGTCTGTAACGCCACTGAACTTGCACGAATGATGCTGCAATGGAGAGAAACAATACAATACCGTTCATGTAATTAGGACTATTCAACGCAATACCAGGATCACTCCACTTTACCTGATGGAAATGACTTGCGGCACCAGCATAATGTACACGGCACTAATCGTCGTGGCGGTCGAGAGCACAAAGAACACCCCCATATAGATGATAGCTGATAGCTGCAGCACCAGTCTTTCAGACTTTACGAACTTGGTGACAAATCCCACCGAGAAGCTACCGAAGAAGCCTAGAAGCCCCATGTAGCTCAGCATAAACCCTCGGTCCTTCGAGCCCATACCGAGCTTGTCCTCAAGAAGCACGGAGAAGTGCGTACGGTACAGAATAGCCGCCATAGACAGCAAGAGTCTCGCCACCAACAGTGTTTGTGCTGATTTAGACTCGTTCACAATGTCGCGGAAGCCTAGCAGTTTCGTCCACGCGTTTTGCAGTAGCTGTCTCCAGTCCACGTCGTGATGGTGACGGCTCTCCTTCCTGTCCTTGTGTTCAGTATCCACTGCAGTCATCGGCACGAAACCCTGACTCCTCGAGTCGAGATAGAAGAGCGACACGAGACAGTAGTTGACGCCGAACAGCACCGTGGTTAGCAGCGTTGTATAGTTAAAGCCATTGGGCACGGAGCTCACGAAGCCGCCGATTACAGGACCGATGATGAAGCCAGCGTTGGCTGCAGCGTTGAGACGTCCGATAGACGCTGAGCGTTTGTCGGCCTCCTCTCCATCCGTGATGGCCACCTTGATGATGTCCAGTGTATGTTTGAAAAGAGCGGCAGGGACTCGAGAGAGCAGCACGATGTAGACGTTCCAAGACAGACCCAACAACAGTTACCCGGTTGAGGTGCCGATAAGGCACGTGAGCAGTACGCGTTTACGCCCGTAGTGGTCGCTCAGACTGCCCACGATGGGCGCCGCGAAAAACTGGATGAAGCCGTAGATTGACATTAGCAGTCCGAACACCATCGCCCCACCGTCCATCGACTTTACGTACTGCGCCAGCGACGGTATGATCATCGACACGCCCAACATGTCCAGGAACGACACCACATATAGCACGCGCGGCGCCAGCCAGCGGCACAAGGACCCGAAACACTGGGACTGACGTTACATAAAGCCTCAAACGTAAATATTTCCAGTTAACTAGGCTTTATTTGAAGTTTAGCTACTTAGGCTTTCAATCTGACCAATCATGCATAAGGAGATTGTAAATTATTCCCAACTGCATCATCAGCCGCACTCGACTACCACTTATTTAATATCTGCACCGTACAGCTCTCCAAGCCATGGCGTCTACGCGCGTGACGATTGGTGCCGGCCGTCTCTCAGTGGTGGATGTGTGTTCCGTGGCTGCACTGGGCGCTTTTGTATCGCTGGACACATCGGCCGGGGCTCCCTCTACTTCCTCTTCCTTCACGCTGCAGCTGATCTCCTCCCCCAGCTCCTCCACCACCTCGTTGGCCATACGTCGAGCGGTGCTAGTGTTGCTGCTGCACCGTCTGCTGCGCCTAAATGCGCTTGTGAATGCCGAGTACGTGGCCGCGCTGCTCAATCAGCTGGACAAGATGCCTGTCCAGGTGTCCTCCGTGGATCTGCCCCTGGCCCTGTCTCCGGCCGAGCAATTGGCCATCTTTAACACGCCAATCGAACTGCTAGCCAATACAGTTTTGGGCCATAGGTGGCGCGCGTGCGCTCTTACCCGTAGCCGATGCAGTGGCCGCCGTGACGTGCGAGACGCTGCGCGCCGATATGGCCGCCTTCGAGGCGGAGTTCGTGGACGCGGCCCGCCCGCACCGCGGCATCGTGACTTCGGCGCAGAATCTGCGCCTCATGCTGGAGGGGTCGAAGTTCGTTAACAGCCAAAAGGAAGGCGCCACCGATGCGGCCGCCGTGCGCTGCATCCCGCAGTACCACGGTCCTGCCCGCGACGCCATTCTGGGCGCCTACAAGGCCGTGGAGATCGAGATCAACGGAGCTGTGGGTGGCAACGCTGCGGCCAAACGTGCTGGTGCGGGCATCCACCCGCAAGCGCTGAAGACGGCGCTGTCGGCCACGACACAGGCGCTTTACGTGCTGCTGCAGGGCAGTGTCGAACGTCTACAGGTGGTGGACACCACGGCTACAGACGCCCCCAAAACGACGAACGCTGTCGAGCTGGTGGAGGCCACGGCGGCCGCTCTATCGCGTGAGCTCGTGCCCTCGTTTATGTTCTTTGCGGAGGAAGAAGCCCAGTTGAAGGTTCGTCAGGCAGAAAAAAACGAGAAGGCGCAGGAGGCGGCTGCCAAGGCTGCGGCTGCTGCTGCCAAGGAGGACGAGAAGCTTGCTGCGATGCCAGAGGAGCAGCGTAACAAGATCCTTGAAAAGCGTCGCAAGAAGCTTGAGAAGCAGAAGGAGAAGGAAAACACCAAGAAGAGCGGCAAGGACGAGCTGAAGCTTGGTCTTGGTAGTCAAGCGTTGCGCCAGCATCTCGTAAGTTTCGGTGATTGGCAGGCTGGTGTTGAGAACTCGGCCTTTGACTTGCGTCCTTCGAGCCTCTCGCAGTTCCTGGATGAACTATTCGTGCGTCTGGGTAGCGGTGGTGCTCGCCGTAAACCCAAAATCGCCAAGGGCTCGCAGGATTTCCTACCGCACCAGATGGCTCTACGTGAGAAGATCTTTAACAAGATCCGCATGGTCTTTAAGCGCCACGCGGGTGTCGAGATCGAGACGCCTGTTTTTGAGCTCAAGGAGACACTGACGGGCAAGTATGGCGAGGACAGTAAACTCATTTACGATCTGGCAGACCAGGGTGGTGAGCTCTTGGCACTGCGTTACGACCTGACGGTGCCTTTCGCTCGCTTCATGGCTCTGCACAGCCCTGGCAACATTAAACGCTACCACATCGCTCGTGTGTACCGCCGTGACAACCCGCAGATGGCCCGCGGTCGTTTTCGCGAGTTCTACCAGTGCGACTTTGATATCGCTGGTACATACGCGCCTATGCTTCCCGATGCTGAGGTGTTGTCCATCGGTATTGAAGTGTTACAGCAGTTCCCGGAGCTTGGACCCGTGAAGGTGAAATTGAGTCATCGTCTTCTACTGGACGCTATCCTCGCTATCTGCGGTGTACCTGTCGACAAGTTCCGTACGACATGCAGTGCTATTGACAAGCTGGACAAGGAACCATGGAGTGACGTGCGCCGTGAGATGGTGGACGAAAAGGACATTCCCGAGGAGGTTGCTGACCGTATTGAGCCTTTCGTGTGTAAAGTGGGATCGCCACGCGAGCTCCATGCACAGCTCGTGAAGGAGAACATGTTCGGAGACAACGCCAATGCTCGTCGGGCCATGGATGACTTAGCACTGCTGTTCAATTACCTGGAGGCCATGGGCGTGTTGGACTTTATTTCGTTCGATCTGAGTCTGGCTCGTGGTCTGGACTACTACACTGGTCTCATCTACGAGTTCGTGTTGACGAGTCCTGAGCACCACGTCGGCTCTATCGCTGCTGGTGGCCGCTACGACAACCTGGTGGGCATGTTCTCCGCCACGGACCAGCAGATCCCGTGCGTTGGTGTAAGTCTTGGTATTGAGCGCATCTTCGGTATCCTCCATGCTCATGCCGAGAAGCAGTCCGCTAACGCTGCCCCTCCATCGCAAGTTCTGGTCGCCTCAACGAGTAACGACCTGACAATGCCTCGATTGGAACTATGCAAGCAGCTGTGGCTCGCCAACATTTCGGCTGAGGTGATGCAGACGGAGAACCCCAAGTTCATCAAGCAGCTGCACTACGCTTTAGAACGTGGCACGCCCTACATGGTGGTGATCGGTGTGGACGAGCTGGCCAAGGGCGTCGTGAAGATGAAGGACATGGCATCTAAGGACGAGGTGAATGTGCCGCGCTCCGAAGTGGTGTCGGAGCTTCTGCGTCGCGGTTGTCCTACGACCAGTACCCTGAGCATTTGAGACTGCAGGATAGAGCGTCATCAAGGTTTCGTTGGCTATGTAGTCGTTAAACTGAATTCGTTGCCATTTACTTCATTTAAGCACTCTCAAGTTTGTTTTTTTAACTAGGCCGACAACGTTTTAATTGTGTGGTGAAGTTGAGTGTATTGTTAGGTGTTGTGTATGACAGTTAGTGTGAGAAAGGGACTAAGAAGAACTAAGAGCTCAGCTCACTCTCAAAAAATAAGCTAACAAGCAGGCACTTGCTGCTGCTGACTGTCAGAGTCTAGCTTATCTCTGCGTACCTTCATCAGTGGTTATGAGCCCAAGTGGCGCGTGTGTAAGCTATTGACTCGTTAGCAAGCATGACCGAAGAAAATAAGAAGGAGAAGGAGACCCGTGACGAGAAGAAGACTATCCCACCGTTTGACGGTAAGGATTATGAAGTGTGGCATGAACGTGTTAAGTTGAAGATGCAGAGAAAGAAGTTGTGGAAGTACTGCGAGAAGGAGGTGGAGGAACCAGAGGAGACTAAGCAGGCGGAACATGATACGTGGGTGAGCGAGACTTCTCGAGCGAAGGAGATAATTTACGACGCCATGACGAACAATATGATGAAGACTGTTAAGTATGAGCACACCCCGTTTCGTGTGATGGAGAGACTGAAGAAGAGATTCATGGGGAAGACTTACCTGAAGTATGCGGAGGGAAGAGCTAAGTTGAGTCGACTCCGTTTGAATCCGAATGGAAATTTACCTGATCATTTGAGTGAAATGCGGCGGCTTATGGAGACAATTGCTGAAGTTGGAAAACCTCTGGATGAGTATGAACGGCCAGCGTTGCTTATTGGTTCCCTATCGCGTGACTACGATAATGTTGTGCAAACGTTTCTTGCTAGTCACAAGCCAGACAAAGATGATGATCCACCAAACTATGAGCAGCTTGAACTTGCGTTGGAGATGGCTTATGATCACCGCCAGAGTAGGAAAGCCGAGAGTGGAAGAGGAGATGATGA